ATTTCAAGAGTCCGTGAAGAATCATGGTGTTGAATAAGAGCGCGAGTCTTATCCTACTGCTCTTTATTTTGAATGTTGGCATGAGTGTAGCAAAACCAAGATGGTTGTGGAATGTTGAGGATAAAGGAAACGAAAAAAATGAAATGAGAGATTTTGAGCAGCACAATAAACTTGTGTTCGATATGCACAAAAAAGTATAAGATTTGATTTGCAAAATCGACAATTACAAAAGAATTTGTAAAAAAAAAGTCGCAAATTAGCTAAGTCTTTTTTAAAAAATTAACGAAAAAAAACGAAAATACTGCTTTAGCATGTGATTAGCATGGTAACGTTCACGAACGTTAAATGCCCCTTTCACCAGGGAAATGCCCGGACGTTTATGGCCTTCCCAACTTATATGTGTTTCCTATCATCCTGAGATTGCCTATATGATTTAAATTTTAGCAAATCTTCTCCCGGATAAACAATAAGTGTAAAACTGTTTCGCCTGGCCTGGAGTAAATTTTCAGTTGAATATGTTTTTATCGCGCTCTTCTCGAGACTAAATGCATTGTCATCAACGAATTAGAAACTTTCAAGCTTCTATAATATGTAGAAAACCATTGGCACAACAAATTCACCTGATTGATAGGAAAGCATTGTCAACAACAAATGCAGCTGATTGAACCGATTTTTAAAGGTGGTTCTGACTACTGTCCATAATATCGAACATTTTAATTTCTTATTTGAATTGCAAACTGCTACCAGAACAAAACAGTAGTTATTTTTATTGATAACATACGATACTTTAAACAGTTATGGGTGTCTACTTTATTTCTCGTCAATTGCTTCAAAGGCGTAAGGAATATCCAATTTATATCAAAAATCCTTTACCTTTTTTCAATTCCTTTTGTTGATATAATTGATTTTTTTTATGTTTCTGGGTGAAAATTAGAGTGCAGTTGTAACGCATCTCTTTCATCCATGGGTCGAAGGGGATACACTGGCAAAATTAAAGGCTCGAAAAGAAATTTCTCACCTATAAAATAATGCAACTGGTCATACGTAAAGAAATGAAAAGTTATTGAGATGTTTTACATCTATTCATGGTCTATTGTAGTCAGTGTTTGCTCAAGTAATGCACATGTTTTGAGGTTTTATCAAGATCCTAAAAATAAAATTATTGCATCTATACGTTACTAGATATCACATCTTCAAGAGCTTAGAGTAATATTGTAATACACAAATTAAATCAATGAAATAAACCTAAACATATTCCTGCTATATATTTTCAGGTGGCATGTAATCCAACAACTCTGTCTTGCACAACAATTACAACTGCATCTTGAAATATGAAAGTTCAAACAAGAGATCAGCAAGAAATGAAAAACGCTACCAATCATTTGGTGGTCTGTATGAAAGTTCAAACAAGAGATCAGCAAGAAATGAAAAACGCTACCAATCATTTGGTGGTCTGTATTCAGTATTGCCATTGCTTCAATTTCAAGATCTGCTTGCAAAATTCCATCTGGACCATGTGGAGTATTGCCAGTCTGTCCATTTTCAGATTAAGGCTCGTCGATATTGATTTAATTACAATGACTAAATACATGACCCATATAGCTCGAACTTGAGCTATGTATGTCATCGCCATCAGGAGTGGTCAACAAAACAGATATATCCAATGAAATATTTCAAAGAATTATGATTTCCCATCAATGAGATGTTAATAGCAGCTCTTCAGCTGGCACAAAGCCTTTACTATACATCATTAAGATGTCCAATTGCAACTCATCAATTGGCACAAAGCCTTTGGCTTACATCGATTGCCGTCCTCTTGATGACAGGATTTAGACATTATTATTACATTAATGATGAGTGTATTTTTACAGACTGAATACACTATTTGAACGAAAAACTTGCACGTTTGTGAAGTGCTTCTTTTCTTTTTTGTGAGAATGTAATATCTGCAGTGTCAATGAATTTAAAAATCACCTTAAAAAGAGAAATTGCCATGGTGAATGGACTGAAACCAAATAAAAACCACGAAACCCATGATAAAACCGAGTAAAAAACTAACCTGAGAAAACCAAGAAAAAATCAACAATTCTGAAAAGAGCTGTTTTAGAAATTTAAGACACTATGGCATATTGGCAAACAATTCGTCCGGTGCAGTGGCGCAGCCAGCCCGCAAATTTGGTTCTGTCATGTTCACTCACTGTAAAAACAACAGATTTCTAAAATTACATAACAAGACCAAAACTTGCAGGCTGCATGGCTACGTCACTGGTCAGGTGTCAACTCTGCTGTCTTTTAGAGTGAGTCAACTTGTATATTTATGATTAGTTTTGATGATGACTCATCCAGTATGGAAGATGAGTCATCATCAAAATAAAGTAGTTATTTGTACAAGCGAATAATAGTTTTATTGCTTCCGCGAGTTATTTTGTAGTTTTATTGTAAATAGGAGATATGTTAATTCGGTAGGAAAAGAGAGGGTAGAAAAACTTTGTTAACATATAGAAAAGTACTGGGGACGTTTGTTATTATTTAGTTTATTTACTCAAAACATTTCGCGTGCTAAGGTCATTTCGAGTGCTAAGGTCATTAATTGCAGATGCTGCAGGAGCAAAAGGGCTGTTTTCTACAATTAGTGTGTTCTGTTCACATGCACATAGTGTGATTCACTTGCACAGGGGATAGCATCATCGGTAATGCACAAACAAATCCCATGTCTTTTAGTAAGTGGCCATCGTTAAGTGTAGTTACACAAAGAAATTCTCCCTTTCCTCCCTCCATCTCTCTCTGTTGACTGTGCATGTACTGTCTTAGTCTTTTTTCCGTGGTGGCGTTTTTATGAGCACACTTTTTCTGTAGTAAAAAGAAAAGCCTTGATCTTAAAGAATTTTATTTAAATTGTGTAAAATAATTCCTGTAATTATTTCGTAATTTGTTATTTTATGGTATTAAACCGGCATGGGCTTTGACATATTGTCAATTTTTTATCCAAAAAAGAGTACTGATTCATACTACTTTATACGTCATGCATAAAGAAAACAGAGCACATCAGCTTCAGAACCTCCCTTAGATCTTGATTTGCTATGATTGAGTGGAAGCGATAAAGCCAATTTGAAAAACGAACTGCTTTTGTCGACAAAGGATCGTATCATTAAGCTTGATAATGACTGCTTCCGTTGTTTTGAGAGAAATACTTATACATTTGTGTAAGATACGAATTTTGGTATCTGTGTATGCATCAGCAAAGTTTGGTTGAAAACAAGGATTAGTTTGCCACTATCAATACTTAAGTTTCGCAGTTCATCAAAAAAGGAAAAGGAATCTTTAAGAACTTTTGATGAAAACTTATTAAGAACCGGTTTAAGTAATATTGATAGTTAAAGAACTATGTTGTCAAAGAACTATGTTGAACTTATGTTGTGCAGATTTTATCATTCAGAGAATAGGACGCAGTGGTGGGCCCTGATTGTGTGTTTTTAGCAATCTGTAAGTTCTTGGTCGTTCTGATCGCATTGGGCGGACATTTTAGTAAAATTCTAGAGTGCTTTACTTTAATGCTTTTAAATAACACAGCAGTGTTTGTAAAGTTTATTTCTATTGAAGCTGTTCGATCATATGCTTCAATGTTTCGTATTAAGCAGAACTTATCCGTATCACTTGAAATTTTATCATCTTAGGAAGAAGCGAAAACTTCAAAAGCAAAACTTAGCTACAAATTTTTTTAAGCGTTATAAGTCATTTTAGTTGTAGCTAATTTTCAAATCAAGCTAAATTATTTGTTTTCATTTTAAAGGTTTTGTGAATTTGCAAGGTCAGAGCATAGAGAAATTGCTAAAATACGTTGTTTTTGTGAAGTATTCAATCTTTCCCATTTGCCAAATTGAAGAACGCTTCGCTGAATCATGGCTACTGGGCTCATGAGAACAGCAACCTAGCATTATAATCAACTTTATCAAGAATCACAGCCCAAGATCCTTTGTCTGGTTTACAACTTACCATATCCTTATTTTTCCGTAAGTTTGCTAACGCGATGAGATGTTCCCTAGTTAATGAAAAGTCTCTACTATCTATTGGAGTGCCATTATATTCATGTGCAATATCAGAAAGTTTTGCTTTAGAAGCTGCCATTGTCTCCTCGCTTTCAGGATTTACGTTTTGAAGATGTGACAACAGACAGGGACGGTGCTAAAATGGTAATTGAGGGGACGGGGTTTATTCAAATATTCAGTTGTAAGCGAGTGATTTATTTTGAAAGTGATTTGGTTTTCTAAAGAAGTCCGTCGGGCACAACTGAATATATGAATATAACCCCCCTCTCCCATGAGCGTTCTAGTGCCGTCCCTAACCACACACTTTCAAACTCACTCCATACAGCCTCATGTTATCTTATCAGGTGGCATTGAAAATTTAAAACCCTTTGGTAGCAGATTAGTCTCCATATTTGACAGTTGGTACGAACAAAGATTTGTAATGTGTGAATATGGGTATTCCATGCATATCTGCTTACTTGCAGTTTCTTCATTAATTCATGTTGTTCTTTAACTTGAGTTGTTGAGAAATTTGCTCTAAGTTGTTTTAACTAAAAAATTTATTTTATATCATGTGGATAGATATGTGGCATATTCTCGGTTGCGAGGCATGTTGACTGCTTCTGGTAGACAAAGGATGGGAAGTTTTGGCAATGTATTTAGACTTATGTTGCACAAAACGGAATTGCTATACCACTGTACATTTAATGGAATAAGGGATAGGAACTTTATTATAAGAATTGAAAGCATAAATATTATGTTGAGAGAAAAGCCTTGAGGTAAAAGTATTGAGTGGGGAGTCAACTGAACTATATGAAAAGGACACCAGAAAACAGAGATTTAAGGAGGGAATTGGTGTTATTATGAATACACCTGATGAGAAAAGGAATAACTTGAGAGAAAATTTAAAACATGAATGCTTAACCGGGTAAAACAGTGAATGAAACAACGACATGAGATCGATTAAACCAATTGTTAAGACAAAATATTTTACATTTAATTAACATATCTTAACAAATGCAATATCAGGCTAACTCTTTTTTTGTAAAGTAGCTTGAGTCAATATGGGCAAAATGATCGGCTATATTCGATTCCCATTCTCTGAAATTTCTTATCTGATTTTTTAAAGGCATCAATTGACGTTTTTCCCTTGTCTGTTTTTTCATAACCTCTCATTTTATTGTTTTCGTTTTCTCCATCGTCAACATTCCGCAACCATCTTGGTTTCGCTGAAGTAAAGTCATCATTTAAAATCAGGACTAGAAGAAAACGACTCTAACTTATTACGATGAATCTTTACAACTCATGAATTACTTCATATTACCGACTTCAAGATATGCTACAAGATGTTTCACAAAACGTCCACTATTTCATAACTAAAGTTTTTCGCATGTGATTTTTCCATAATTTTTTTACGAAAGAGGCATCCCTTTTGTGCTCATGGAGATGGATAGTTTATTTATTCAACGATATTACAAGTCAGCTGGTTGATCACAACAGTCAATGTAACGTGCAACAAAAAACAAATATGAAAGGACGCCAATTCAAAAAAGCCAGTTTTTTGGACTGCACGGATCATACAACGTTTTATGCGCATGCATGCTCCAACTAAGCTTTCTTTGACCCACTTGTGATTTCATTTGTATCTTCAAATTAATAAGTATTCCAAGTCAAATACGCTTTCAAATTACTAGGAGTTATTAACAGCTCTTTATGCATTCAGAACTCTACAGTTTGTCCTGCTTTGCTACAACGATTCTTAAAGGCACAACTCATTAGAATAAAAGTAAACCCACTCCAAAGACTAGGTACATATTGAACTCAATCACTAAGAAAAATACGCAAAGTCAAAAAAAGTTGTAATTCGAATTTATTGCAAATCCATCATTATTAGTCTTGTATGTGTTTCCTTAAATGTTGACTTCATTACTGATTCCATTAATATTTCCTAAATTCAGAACTATGTACTTTTCAAAGATTAATGAAAGACAGAAGAAGTGCAATATAGATAATTCTTTCACTTAATATTTCTATAAAAATACTACCTTCGTAGCTATAAGTGTCAAGATCGCACTAACGCAGAGAAAAATTTACAATCAAATAAAGGAAAAAAAAGAACGTAAAAGATGGTATTTAACTGCTATTTCTTAACAGATGGTGTTCAAAAGGTGTTTCTGCCTGGCATGGCTGTTTCAAATTTTAAAGATTGACTATTCCTTTCACAACTTTTTTGAGTCAGGTAGATAACCACAAGAGCCTCGATATCTTTAACAGCCTTTTCAAACAACATAAAAGAACGCTAATTTAGAAGCAGCACGTAATTGGACTACACGGATCTTGGGATGTTTCAAAACATAACCAAACACATTTTGAATATAATTGAATGAAGAGAAAGGTTCAAAAGGATTTAAGTATCCACTACGAGCGAACAATTTCAAGTGCAAAAGGAAAAATACTCAATATTGAACTAAATATTTAAGAAAACAGATGCATGTCAAATGATGACAAATTTTTAATAAACTCAAAAAAAATGTTTTCTCAAATAATGAAGACCAATATGAAACTTTCGTTAAGAGTTTGTTTTCATCCAAATTAAACCTACTTTTAAAATCGTTGTATAGTTACCACTTACCAGGATGAATTATACAGTGCATGAAAGAACATTTAATCACTCCCTCCTCCCCAATATTTAAACAGCATTTTAAAAGCTTATTTAACTTAAAAAACTAATTAACTTAGAAAGCTAAATAATTAACTTAGAAAGCTAAATATTTAACTTAAAAAACTAATTAATGACAACACTGAAATGAAGCAAGGGTTTGAAAAAGGTTATTTTGTTTTGACAGCATCCATATGCATACAAAGCGTTTAATTGTCCGTGTTGTCCAATACCATTTTGTTTCTAAACTAGCGTCCTTTAGTGTTTGCTTGTGTGTATGTAATTTGAGAAAACCACCTGCAGAACCTCTTGCTATAAAATGGTGATCATAGCTTTTTTGTATCACATGTTCTTGTGCGTAATAAAAAGTATTTCAAGAGTCTGTGAAGAATCATGGTGTTGAATAAGAGCGTGAGTGTTCTTCTTTTGATCCTCATTTTGAATGTTGCCACGAGTTTGGCCAAACCAAAATGGTTCTGGAGTGTTGAGGATGAAGAAAACGAAAACAATGCAATGAGAGGTTTTGAAAAAACAGACAAGAGAAAGACGTCAATCGATGACTTTAAAAAATGGGAAAAGAAAAGTCCCCGACGAAGAGGAGACTGTGGTCGACTATATTGCCCACCTTGACACAAACTATTTCACAAAAAAGTACTTAGCTTGATATTTAACCAGTTGAAACGTGTCATTTAAACGCAAAGTGTCTTAATAAATGGTTTAGTTGCACTCATGATCATATCGTTATTTCATCCTTTTTACCAAGTTCTCTCGAGTCGTTTGTTTTCTCAACATGTATGTATTTTTATCAATTTCTTCCTCTGTGTTTTCTGGTTTCCTCTTCATGACTTGACTCGTCATCCCCAGTGTATTTTACCTCTGGGTGTTTTCGTATTAAATAACATGTTTTGAATTTCAAACGGTTTCTTTGATTTTTTGTTTATTTCACGTCTTCCTTCCTGCCATACTATTGTCGCAACACACTTGTTGCTCTTTTTTTATATATCCATCTTATTTTGTTATCTTTCTCCAGACTTATATCTCATGTCTCTTCATTGAATCATGTCCATATTTTAATCTACACACTCATACACTTCTTATCGCTGTTTTGCAACGTTCCTCACATTTCTCAATTAAAATGTTTTCCTTGGACAGGTGAAACGTCGTAGTACTAAGAAAACATTTACAAGATTACTATATCACTAATGGTTTTCGCATATGGTTTTCTCCATAACTTTTTTTTTAGGAAGCCCTTTTGTGCCCATGGAGATGGGTGGTTTATTTATTAAATGCTATTATACAAGTGAGCTGGTTGGTCACAACAGTCATTCTAAAGTGCAACCAAAAAACAAATATGAAAGGACGCCAATTCAAAAACAGCCTAATTTTTGGACTGCACGGATCATACAACGTTTCGTGTGTATGCATGCTCCAACTAAGCTTTCTCCGACCCACTGGCTTCAGTGATTTCATTTGCATCTTCAAATTAATTACTTGTCCAAGTCAAATACGTTTTCAAATTACTGGGAGTTATTAACAGTTCTTTATGCATTCAGCACTCTACAGTTTATCCTGCTATGCTACAACGATTCTTAAAAGAACAATTCATTGGAGTAAAGGAAACACACTGCGAAGACCAGGTCAATATTGAACTCAATAGCTAAGAAAAACATGCAAAGACGAGAAAAGTTTTAAAAGTTACAATTAGAATTATTTGAAATTCATCATTATTAGTCTCGTATCTCTTTCCTCAAATGTCGAGTTCATTATTGATTCCAATAATATTTCCTAAATTTAGAACTATGCAGTTTTCAAAGATTAATGAAAGACAAGAAAAGTACAATATAGAAAATTCTTTCACTTTATATTTCTAAAAAATATTTCCTTGGTAGCTATAAGTGCCAAGATCAGCTAACGCGGAGAAAAATTTAAAATCAAGTAAAGCAACAAAAGAACGCAAAAGGTGGTATTTAACTGCTATTTCTTAACAGATGGTGTTCAAAAGGTGTTTCTGCCTGGCATGGCTGTTTCAAATTTTTAAAGATTGACTATTCCCTTTCACAACTTTCTTTTGAGTAAGCTGGATAACCACAAAAGCCTAGATATCTTTAACAGTCTTTTCAAATAACATAAATGAACGCTAATTTAGAAGCAGCACGTAATTGGACTACACGGAACTTGGGATGTTTCAAAACATAACCAAACACATTTTTGAATATAATTGAATGAAGAGAAAGGTTCAAAAGGATTTAAGTATCCACTACGAGCGAACAATTTAAAGTGCAAAAGGAAAAAATACTCAATATTGAACTAAATATTGAAGAAAACAGATGCATGTCAAATGATGACAAATTTTTAATAAACTCAAAAAAAATGTTTTCTCAAATAATGAAAACCAATATGAAATTTTCGTTAGGAGTGTTTTTTCATCCAAATTAAACCTACTTTTAAAAATCGTTGTATAGTTACCACTTACCAGGATGAATTATACAGTGCATGAAAGAACATTTAATCACTCCCTCCTCCCCAATATTTAAACAGCATTTTAAAAGCTTATTTAACTTAAAAAACTAATTAACTTAGAAAGCTAAATAATTAACTTAGAAAGCTAAATATTTAACTTAAAAAACTAATTAATGACAACACTGAAATGAAGCAAGGGTTTGAAAAAGGTTATTTTGTTTTGACAGCATCCATATGCATACAAAGCGTTTAATTGTCCGTGTTGTCCAATACCATGCTGTTTCTAAACTAGCGTCCTTTAGTGTTTGCTTGTGTGCATGTAATTTGAGAAAACCACCTGCAGAACCTCTTGCTATAAAATGGTGATCATAGCTTTTTTGTATCACATGTTCTTGTGCGTAATAAAAAGTATTTCAAGAGTCTGTGAAGAATCATGGTGTTGAATAAGAGCGTGAGTGTTCTTCTTTTGATCCTCATTTTGAATGTTGCCACGAGTTTGGCCAAACCAAAATGGTTCTGGACAGGGGCGGATTAACCATATGGCAGAAGCGGCATATGCCGCGGGCCCCGCGCTTCTGGGGGCCCCGCGCTTGCCTTTGGAAAAAGAAAAAAAGGGAAATAAAAAGAAACGGCCAAGACTAATTGAAATATAAAAGCGTGAGGCCCAATTCCAAAAACGGTAACACTGCAAATATCAATTATTCACTGGCAAAATATAGGCTATATTTTGCAATGGGATAGGAGATCCATTTGTATCGTCATATTACATGTTGCAGTTTCCGTTAATTTAGCTACACCTATTATATTACATAAAGTCTTTCGTCTGGCAGTAGGATTGCAACTCGATATTGTTGTAGTCTCGACTTTCAAACCGTATTGAATATTATCAGACTTTTTTCGATTCATTTTGATAATTTTTGAGGCTGCTGCTGTTTGCGACTTGTAAGTGTTGTTGACAAATTCAAACTGGAGATATTCAAGGTATTTGGCTGAATGCTGAAGCAGTGACGGCGACGCTTGGTAAGTTTTGATGATTTACTAACTGCTGTGAGCCGTCTGCATTCTTACGTTTCCTTGGTTACTCGTTTATTCCTCATATATAAATTGCCGATTTATATGAAATAACAATATATTTCAAAAATGTCCTGAATTCCTGGCAGCTCCAAAGGCCCAAGAAGCGTATGCGTGTTTGATTTATTTTCTCACAATTCTGTATGTGCGATAGTAAACCGTCAAATCGTCCTTCTATGTTTTTGTGAAAGTAAATATTACTAAAACGTCACTTTCAAATTTTTAGGTTTGCTAATTGCTATAATATAGTTAACAATTAAAGAATGAGTTCCACCAGTGGGGGTGGCAACCGCGACCGCGACAAAAATCGCAAATATGCATCTGGAGCAGCAAAACGAAAGGCAAAGGATGAACGAATTTTACGGGAAAGTAAAGTTTTAAGTAAAATGCCGAAAATATCGGAACTGTTTCCTCCGAAGGCTGATGAAGGTTCTTCTGAGCTGACTGCTGCAGATGAAGCGATGACAACAATGGCAGAAGCAGTTGAGGAACCCGACACCGGCGACACATCCAAGGAGTTGACATCTGGTGATACGTCCATTTCCACTGATAACAATGATGGATACTCTTGTGATTTGGGATTATGGCCTACTGATATTTCTGACAATATGAGAGAGCACTGGGCAGGTCAAGGGAGTAGTCAGTGCAGAAATTCCGATGCCGATTTCAGCGCAACATCAACAAGATATGAGGGAGATGCTTACAATAGACGATGTCAAAAAACTTTGTTCACGTACACACATGAGCTTACAAAACAGCAACATCCTCGAAACTGGCTCTGCTATTCACCATCCAAACATGTCGTGTTCTGTTTTGCGTGTAAACTCATGACTGACAGCATCGTTTTTGGAAAACAAGGTTATAATGACTGGAAACGCGCATCCCAGTCAATTCCACGACATGAGAAAAGTTCAGCGCACCGTAATGCTGTTTTCAGCTACTCCAACGTAGCGATGCTGGCTGCCGTATTGATTCAGAACTGGTCACACAGGCCAGTGATGAGCGTAACTATTGGCGGGCAGTACTTGAGCGGGTAACAGAAACCATCCGTTACCTTTCCGAGCGAAGTTTACCATTTCGCGGCACTGATGAGATCGTTGGATCGCCAAAAAACGGTAACTACCTGGGAACATTAGAACTTATATCGATGTTCGATCCATTTCTAGCGCAACACATCAACCGTAATGCAAATAAGGGAAAGGGTCACACATCCTATCTCTCAAAGACCATTTGCGAGGAATTCATCCAACTGATGGCAACTCGAGTTCGCGAGCAGATTTTTACAGAAGTTAAAGCTGCAAAGTATTTCTCCGTCTGTGTAGACTCTACCCCAGATATTTCCCACGTTGATCAACTGACATGCATTCTTCGATACGTTTTACCCTCTGGTCCTGTCGAACGATTTGTATCTTTCCTTAACATACGTGGACATAGCGGAAAATTGCTAGCTGAAAGGCTACTAGATTATTTGAAAACCAATAATATAAATATTTCGGATTGCCGCGGCCAGTCATATGACAATGCAAGCAATATGAGTGGGAAATATAATGGTATGCAGGCCATTATTCAGCAACATTGTAGCCTAGCACAGTACATACCCTGCGTTGCACATTCCCTTAATCTTGTTGGACAATCATCTGCCAGTTGTTGTCAAGAAGCATCAAGATTCTTCAACTTCCTCCAACGATTGTACTCTTTCTTTGCTGCTTCAACGCATCGTTGGAAAGTTTTAACCGACCAACTTTCAAGCAAGAGACTTCCAACGGTTAAACGTATGTCTGATACTCGATGGTCAGCACGTGCAGATGCTAAAAGCTCTAGTAATAGGATACGAGGAAATTAATGCTGCTTTAGACGAGATCCATGATGATCAAGATGAGAAGCCTGAAGCCAAAATGAAGCCAATAGTCTTGCGTCTGATATGGCCCAGCTTGAAATTGGAATTCTGGCAGCATTATGGCATCAAATCTTGCAACGATTTCAGAGAACAAGTCAGATCCTGCAATTAGCTGATCAAGATCTCAACACTGCTGTTGCATTATATGAATCGCTGATTGAGTTTGTCCTTTCGCTGCGAACCAGATTTGAAGAATTTGAAGCCAAAGGAAAGGAGCTCAGTGAATGTGATCAATATAAAGAAGAGATCAAGCGCGTGCGTAAACGAAATCGTCGTAACGACGAGCCAGGATCAGCACCTGATTTGTTGCAGATTCCAGCCGACAAGTTTCGCACAGGTACTTTCCTTGTAATAATCGATAGTCTGGATGCTGAGTTGCGAAAACGACTGAGTGCTTACATCAACATTGCTGAAAAGTTTGGCTTTCTGCGAAAGCTTACAGATCTGCCAGCTGAAGACGTGTTGGAAAACGCACAAAGATTGCAAAAAGCATTTTCCACTGACCTCGAAGTCAATTTGGGTGATGAATTGCTCCAGTTTTCTAGCTTTCTCAACACAGAATTCGTGAAAAGAGCATTAGATGCGAGTCATGCAGCTGCACCTCATTATTCTTCAGCTCGAATTGGATCTTCTGCTCAGCCTAGTGAAGACCATGACATCGATGTAACATCCGATGATGATGACGACATCAAAGTGAACGTAGACTCCTAGAACTGCGTATATACAGGTTTCTTGTGGGAAATAACCTGGAAACTGTATTTCCAAACACTGTTATTGTGTTTCGCATTTACCTCAGTATGATGATATCAAATTGTTCTGGTGAACGGTCGTTCTCGAAATTAAAGCTAATAAAGGATCATCTTCGTTCAACCATGACACAGGAACGACTAAATAGCCTTGCTCTTCTGAGTATTGAAAATGATGTTCTGCGTAGTATTGATATGTCATCCCTGATTAATGATTTTGCTCTTATGAAATCCCGTAAGCATAACGTTTATAAGGCTTAACACTTCTGCACAGTAAAACCTTTTACGTCTTTTTTTATCGTGTTTATTATATTAGTCTGTTCAATATTGGTATGTAATGTTTGGTATACGTACGTGATTGTAAATTGGAATTATATTCAACGTATTGGTTTAAATAGGCCAAAGTACGAGGTTTTATTGTTTGAGTTAAAAAAACAGTTTTTTATTGCATTTTGGTAAACACAGGGGTTGGGGCAAGGGCCCAGCACTGATATTATGCCATGGGCCCCGCAAAATGTTAATCCGGCCCTGGTTCTGGAGTGTTGAGGATGAAGAAAACGAAAACAATGCAATGAGAGGTTTTGAAAAAACAGACAAGAGAAAGACGTCAATCGATGACTTTAAAAAATGGGAAAAGAAAAGTCCCCGACGAAGAGGAGACTGTGGTCGACTATATTGCCCACCTTGACACAAACTATTTCACAAAAAAGTACTTAGCTTGATATTTAACCAGTTGAAACGTGTCATTTAAACGCAAAGTGTCTTAATAAATGGTTTAGTTGCACTCATGATCATATCGTTATTTCATCCTTTTTACCAAGTTCTCTCAAGTCGTTTGTTTTCTCAACATGTATGTATTTTTATCAATTTCTTCCTCTGTGTTTTCTGGTTTCCTCTTCATGACTTGACTCGTCATCCCCAGTATATTTTACCTCTGGGTGTTTTCGTATTAAATAATATGTTTTGAATTTCAAACGGTTTCTTTGATTTTTTGTTTATTTCACGTCTTCCTTCCTGCCATACTATTGTCGCAACACATTTGTTGCTCTTTTTTTATATATCCATCTTATTTTGTTATCTTTCTCCAGACTTATATCTCATGTCTTTTCATTGAATCATGTCCATATTTTAATCTACACACTCATACACTTCTTATCGCCGTTTTGCAACGTTCCTCGCATTTCTCAATTAAAATGTTTTCCTTGGACAGGTGAAACGTAGTAGTACTAAGAAAACATTTACAAGATTATTATATCACTAATGGTTTTCGCATGTGGTTTTCTCCATAACTTTTTTTTTAGGAAGCCCTTTTGTGCCCATGGAGATGGGTGGTTTATTTATTAAATGCTATTATACAAGTGAGCTGGTTGGTCACAACAGTCATTCTAAAGTGCAACCAAAAAACAAATATAAAAGGACGCCAATTCAAAAACAGCCTGTTTTTTGGACTGCACGGATCATACAACGTTTCGTGTGCATGCATGCTCCAACTAAGCTTTCTCCTACCCATTGGCTTCAGTGATTTCATTTGCTCTTTCATCTTCAAATTAATTACTTGTCCAAGTCAAATACGTTTTCAAATTACTGGGAGTTATTAACAGTTCTTTATGCATTCAGCACTCTACAGTTTATCCTGCTATGCTACAACGATTCTTAAAAGAACAATTCATTGGAGTAAAAGGAAACACACTGCGAAGAGCAGGTCAATATTGAACTCAATAGCTAAGAAAAACATTCAAAGACGAGAAAAGTTTTACAAAGTTACAATTAGAATTAATTTGAAATTCATCATTATTAGTCTCGTATCTCTTTCCTCAAATGTCGAGTTCATTATTGATTCCAATAATATTTCCTAAATTTAGAACTATGCAGTTTTCAAAGATTAATGAAAGACAAGAAAAGTACAATATAGAAAATTCTTTCACTTTATATTTCTAAAAAAATATTTCCTTGGTAGCTATAAGTGCCAAGATCGCGCTAACGCGGAGAAAAATTTAAAATCAAGTAAAGCAACAAAAAGAACGCAAAAGGTGGTATTTAACTGCTATTTCTTAACAGATGGTGTTCTGCCTGGCATGGCTGTTTCAAATTTTTAAAGATTGACTATTCCCTTTCACAACTTTCTTTTGAGTCAGCTGGATAACCACAAAAGCCTAGATATCTTTAACAGCCTTTTCAAATAACATAAATGAACGCTAATTTAGAAGCAGCACGTAATTGGACTACACGGATCTTGGGATGTTTCAAAACATAACCAAACACATTTTTGAATATAATTGAATGAAGAGAAAGGTTCAAAAGGATTTAAGTATCCACTACGAGCGAACAATTTAAAGTGCAAAAGGAAAACATACTCAATATTGAACTAAATATTGAAGAAAACAGATGCATGTCAAATGATGACAAATTTTCAATAAACTCAAAAAAAATGTTTTCTCAAATAATGAAGACCAATATGAAACTTTCGTTAAGAGTTTTTTTTCATCCAAATTAAACCTACTTTTAAAAATCGTTGTATAGTTACCACTTACCAGGATGAATTATACAGTGCACGAAAGAACATTTAATCACTCCCTCCTCCCCAATATTTAAACAGCATTTTAAAAGCTTATTTAACTTAAATAACTAATTAACTTAGAAAGCTAAATAATTAACTTAGAAAGCTAAATATTTAACTGCATTAGTAGCTATGTGTTAACATGATTCTTTTTTTCAGGTTCCGACAAAAACGGATGTTATAAGCGAGCTTTTACATCCTTTTGCACATTTTCAAAAGTCTCTGTATACGATGTTTTATAAAATGTGTTACATTTTTTCAGATAGTAGAAACTTCGTTGCTGATCAGATTGCACGTTGAGCTAAATAAGCTCATTTCACGGTATGTAATTGTCGCGTTAATTAGCTAACAGCAGTGTCGTCTGTTTTATTTATTAATAAGGGCAATAGAAATTATTATTACAAACAATCAATCTAATTTTATGCACAAAAAAGGTAGGGGGTAAGGTTAGCGAACGGCTGGTAGCATATCAAAAGAATTATATGACGTTAATACAAGATCTTTAAAAATTTTAATTATATGTTGTTCGTTCAATGATGCCAACATTAATCTTCAAACGTCGTTTTCTTACGTCGTGTTTTATGAACTTCTCATATTTTTAATAACGTGTAGTGAAAGGCTTTGATTAAATGCTTCTAAAATGCATGAGTAGGTTATGCATGTCGGGGTAATATATAGTCGTTATTCGTGTAACAAGTATAAATATAAGTTCTATTTATAGTAGTTACGTGTGTTATAATTTATACATATAGAGTTTATAATTTCAAGTCTATAAAAACAATAATGATCTCTCAACGAACAAAATCTTTTGAATTTTAATTATTGATTTATAGTTTATACACAATATTTTTCTTTAGTTTGTGAACATGCAACTGTCGAATTATTTTAGCGGTACACCGCACTCTACCAAAACATCCAAACTTGATCTACTACTTCTACTTCGACGCATTGGATCAACATTACAGCCTCTGTTTACCTGTTTATAGTCTGCAAACTGGATACATTATAACTTACACTTTCTCACGACTGGAAAGCCTTTTTTGATAAACTGAGTGTTTTATTTCCTAATGCATGAGAGTTTTTACTTGCGATGCACGTCAAACCACAAACTTGCACTAACCCTTAAATCCCAACATTTCGAACGGGTAAATATGAAGCAACATTTTTCATTGCTCCACTTTGACCAAACACCAGCCTCACATTCACATAATTAAGAGCATAGTTTGTGTGAATAGAAAACGTGCACATCTTAAATGAAACGAGACCGCAAATATTATGCAACGTCAACAAAAATATCAATGGGGGTATTACAGATAGATTTAGATCGTGACTTTCAGACATCATTCCCGTTGTGATCAAGATAAGTCAACTAAAGGACTGTGTTTTCATGGACAGTTTGTTAACGTCTGCCATTAAACAATAAACTCTCACGAAATCCTGATTTATGTGTGCACGTACATAAAAACGCTTTGATTGAATCAATGCCAGGCAGTGTTTTTCACACTGGACATTATGATAAAGGGAATATTTGTGCTTATTGATAATCTCAATGTACAAAAGCTTGGAAAAATCTTAAAACCTTAACAAAATCATCATTTCAACATTTAAATATGTAGAAAAATATGGCTCTTTCCGAACACTCG